CGGTAAATTTAAATATTATTAGGATGACACATGTCATGTTATGTATGTTTTATCACAATTTTAAAGAGCAATTGATTTGGTTCTTAAAGGGAGTTTTAATTTAAAAAAAAAATCTTAGGTAAACAATAAGAGTTCAAGTGGGAGGTGGGGATAGGAAAATCCTGAGGGCGGTCTGTGAAGGTCAAAAACGTAGGCACTCCTGAGGTTGTGCAAGCTGCGGGCTCGGCCCAGAGCTGGTGCTGAATGAAAAGAGGCTGATGTTGTTGTTGTTGATGATGATGTTGATGTTATCTACAAAGTGCCAAACACTTCCAAGTTCACGCTCTGCCAGGTGCCCAGAGAGCCTCATTCTTTTTTTTTTTTAAATATATTTTATTGATTTTTTACAGAGAGGAAGGGAGTGGGATAGAGAGTTAGAAATATCAATGAGAGAGAAGCATCGATCAGCTGCCTCCTGCACACCCCCTACTGGGGATGTGCCTGCAACCAAGGTACCTGCCCTTGACCAGAATCAAACCCGGGACCCTTCAGTCCCCAGGCCGACGCTCTATCCAGTGAGCCAAACCGGCTAGGGCAGTGGTCGGCAAACTCATTAGTCAACAGAGCCAAATATCAACAGTACAACAATTGAAATTTCTTTTGAGAACCAAATTTTTTAAACTTAAACTATATAAGTAGGTACATTGTTATTAAATGAATTAGGGTACTCCTAAGGCTTAGGAAGAGCCACACTCAAGGGGCCAAAGAGCCGAATGTGGCTCGCGAGCCACAGTTTGCTGACCACGGGGTATGGCAAGAGAGAGCCACCTTTTTGAGACCCCCTGGTGAAACACGGTATCAGTTCTGAAGATGAGAGAAGGTTCCCAGAACCTGAATTAAAAGCTCAACCTGACTCTGCATTCCCCAGAGCAAGGACAACCCCACCCTTTAGCCATAGCCCTGGCCCCCAAGCCAGGTGGGCCAGGAGAGCACACATTCACCCCCATCCACCCCCGCCCAACTGGAAGCAGGGCGCCAGACTCCTTCCCCTGGAAGGGGCCATGAGGAGATGGACCATTTGGCCTCTGAGGTCCTTTCCTACTCAAATCCAGGGCAGGGCACAGCTGCCAGGATCTGGCTCTTCTGGACTCTGTATAGAGAGTTACACAGCAGAAAGCAAGGTAGTGACAGGTGCCCACGCCCAGCCCAGCCTGCAGAGTTTGGGAAATCGCCCTGCATAGAGCTGACTAGGGAAATAGGACAGCCAAACAGGTGTGTGGGTGCTGAGACGATGCTCTCCCTCTGCTAGGGGAAGACAGGAGGTGAGAGAGCAGGTGCCCAGAGGCAGAGCCAGGGAGGAGGGGTGTTCTCATGGCTGCTGTAACAAATTAGCACAAACAGTGGCTTACATCAACACACATTTATTATCTTACAGTTCTGGGGGTCAAGAGTTTGAAATTAGTATCACGGGGCTAAAATCAAGGTGTCAACAGGGCTGCTTCCTGTTGGAGGCTCCAGGAGAGAATTCATTCCTTGCCTGTTCCAGCTTCAGGTTGCCTGCATTCTTTGGCTCAGGGCCCCTTTCTCCATCTCTACAGTTCATAGTCTCCCTTCTGATCCCATCATCACAACTCCTTTCCTCTGATGTTGACCCTAGTTCTGCAAAATGTTAGTGACTGGTAATTTGGGTGAAAGATATATAGAATTTTGCTGTATTCTTCTTGCAACTTTTCTGTTGCAATTAAAATATTTCAACATGAAAAGTTAAAAAAAATGTTGGCTAATAAAAAGTGTTGGTAAGTGCCCTGGCTGGTTTGGCTCAGTGGATAGAACGTCGTCGGCCTGCGAAGAGTCCCAGGTTCAATTCCGGACAAGGGCACATACCTTGGTCGCAGGCTCCTCCCCAGCCCAGGCCCTGGTCTTGGGTGCATGCAGGAGGCAACTGATGGATGTTTTTTCCTCTCACATCAACATTTCTCTCTGTCTCTCCCTCTCCCTTCCACTCTCTAAAAATCAATGGAAAAATATCCTCAGGTGAGGATTAAAAAATTTAAAAAAGTGTTGGTGAGGATGAGAAACAAGGAAACTTCCATCCCTTACTGGTGGAAATGTGAAATGGTCAAGGAGAGAATTTTGGAAAACAATTTACACTAGCTGGTGTATTACTGGGCAGGGAAGGTTGATTGCACGAATAGGAAAACAGCACATCTAAACGTCTGAAGAGTAAAAGTTGATTTCTCACATAAGCAAAGTCCATCGATGTGTGTGTCTTCCGTGGAAGGCTGTCCGTCAAGTGGTCCAGGCTCCTTCCATCCTGTGATGCCTCCATTCTGAACACGTAACCCCCACCCCCAATTTGTGGCTTCTACCACCAACAAGAATCTTCCGAGGAAAGAAGAGGTATGGCACACTGCATCTTTAAATACCTCAGTCCAGAAGGACTCGCCTTCCTTCGGTGTACTTTCTATTGGTCAAAAAGGGTCACGTGACCCCAATTTAGACGCAAAGGTAGCTGGGAAATGTAGTCTCTGGATGAGTAACTGCTCCTCAGCTGTACCCTCCAGAAAGGAAGCGAGTCTTTGTGACAAAGTGGGTTGCCTCTGCCACATCCAGGAAAGTTGCAAATGACCATGTCCTGCACTGGGAACTCTCCTCCCAGACTTACATCCCCTGAGAAACTCTCAGAGGTGGACACAGGATTCATGTACAAGATTATTCAGAACAGCCTTGCTCGTCATAGCAAGACCCTGGAGTCACCTTGAATATACCTGAGTCGTAGATTTGATAAATAAATGATGATGCATTCATTCAATGGAATGAATGTAAATAAATGGACAGTGGGGACACGCAATAATGTGAATGACTCTCATCAAGATAATGCTGGACCAAAAAAGAAAAGAAAAGGAAAGGAAAGGAAAGGGGAAAGGAAAGGAAAGAAGTCACAAAACAGTATGTTTGTTTATAGGATGATTAAAAAAAAACCCAAAAACCCAGCAGGCTACATTTAACGAATGGTACTTAGGCAGGGCTGACACTCAGCAGTCACGCACCTGTATAATATATCAGCTATTAAAATGCAGCAACACTGGTTGGTAACTAGCTGCTCTACAAACCTCCCCCACCCAGTGTGATTCCTGGCCACCCTGGCCTTGTCCCTATGATGTCACAGATTTCACAATCCAGCAGCTAAAGAGTCAGGATCTGGTAAATATTTTTTATATTGCCTTTGGTTTAGAGAGGCATGCATATGTGGGGGGGGGGCGGGGGGATGCTTTAAAAAAAGGGTGGAGGGGTGGGTGAGTTGGAAGAGGGCACGGAGGGGATAAATGATGATGGGGAAAATAAAATAAAATGTTTTAAAGAAAGAAGAGGAAAGAAGTGCTGGACACCAAATCCAGAAGGGTGGTCCTCCCGGTGGGAGGCCCAGGGGAGAGGATGCACTTAGAGTCTCACGGGAGTCGTTGGGTCAGTGTGCTTCCTTCCGGTTTACCTCCCGATGCACTGGGAGAGCAGAGGGAAGATGTCATTAAACCCCCTGAGGAGCCCCCTCAGAGATGTGGGAACTGCTTCTGCTTCAGCCACATCCCCAGGTGGCCTCAGAGTTTCAAGAAATCCATTGCAATTGCCTCCAAACAAGCTTAACTCAGTCATTTGGAGAAGCTGTTACCGAATAAAGTGCAGGGTACCCAGTAAAATTTGAATTTCATGTAAGATAAACAATGAATAATTTTCAGCATAAGTGTGTTCTAAATATTGCACAGGATCAACTTACACTGATTCTTTTTTTTGCTCATATATCTGAAATTCAAATGAAAACGGGCATCCTGTATTTTTATTTGCTCAATCCAGCAACCCTAATTCGGAAGCGTCTCCTCACCAGAACCCCTGCCCCGTTCCTATCTCCAGTAAGAGAGTTCTGTATATGGATCATCAAGCTCAGTGGTTCTCCACCAAGGGCAATGCTGCCCCCCAGGGGACACTTTGTGATGCCTGGGGACATTTTTTATTCTCATAACTCAGGGGATGGGAATGATACTGGCACTGAATGGGTAGAGACCAGAGATGCTGCTCAACTTCCTCCAATGCACAGGACAGACCCCCATAAGCAAGAATGATCTGGCCCCAAATGTCAATAGTGCCAGGACTAGGAAACCCTGGTCTCTATGGACACTGAAGTCACTAAGAATTATGACCAGAGAAGTTTTCCAGAAAAGAAAAATTAACCAGGAGGTAAAGTAGTGGAGGACTGAGACAGCCTGACCTGAGATTGGTAGAGGAAGCAGTGAGGGTAGCAGAGAGTATTATCTGACAATCTAGATCAGCGGTTCTCAACCTCTGGGTCGCGACCCCTTTGGCGGTCGAACGACCCTTTCACAGGGGTCGCCTAAGACCATCCTGCATATCAGATATTTACATTATGATTCATAACAGTAGCAACATCACAGTTATGAAGTAGCAACGAAAATAATTTTATGATTGGGTCACAACATGAGGAAATGTATTTAAAGGGCCAGAAGGTTGAGAACCACTGACCTAGATCAAAGCTGTAGTTTTAGAGCAAGGACACCTGCCTCACCCCAGGAGGCAAAAGAGTGTGAGGAGTTAGGAGGAAAAATAGCCGCAACCTAAGAGCTTAAAGTCCTCAGGAGAGAGCCAGGCTTCTGCTGGGGAGAGAAGGTAAAGAGAAAGTTCTGAGAAGAAATTGAGAATGTAGGAAATTTTGCTTGGGAAGGACTGTGACTTCCTGAGGGCACAGCTAAAGTATTTCAAGATTTGAGGTGGCTCATTAAAGGAAGAAAGGCACACCATTTACTGGAAGAAGATACCCGCAAAACATAGATCTGACAAATGACTTATTGCCAGAATCTAAGAAGAAGACAAACAAAATGGCAAAGGGTTTAGAAGAGACACTTTGCAAAAGAAGATAAAGAAATGGCCAAAAGGCACATGAAAGATGCTTAAAATCATTAGTCATTGGGAAAATAAACAGTAAACCGCAATGAGACACCACTACACACCCACTGGAAGAACGAAGATTTTAAAACAATAACCTGTCTGTACAAAGTGATGCTGAGGAGGTGGAGCGACTGGACCTCTCAGACACTGCTGGCAGTTTCTTCCAAAGTTAAAGATGCATCTTCTACATGGTCCAGCCAATCAACATCTGGTATTTATCCAAGAGAAGCAAAAATGTACACTCTCATGCACTGCTTTATTTATAACAACTCCAGACTGCAAACAACCCAAATGCCCATCAACTGGTGAATGGATAAACCTGGTACATCCATACACTGGAATATTATTCAGCAATGAGGAGGAACAAATCAAAGAATATACACACAACACTGGTGAATCTCAAAAACATTATGCTGAATGAAAGAAGCTAGTCACAGCCCGCCAGCGACGCTCAGTGGTTGTGCGACGTCCTGTGAACCAGGAGGTCACGGTTCTATTCCCAGTCAGGGCACATGTCCAGATTGCTGGGCACAATCCCCAGCAGGGGAGAGGGGGGAGCGTGCAGGAGGCAGCCGACCAGTGATTCTCTCTCATCATTTTCTTTAAATATAGTTCTTTATTGATTTCAGAGAGGAAGGGAGAAGGAGAGAGAAATAGAAACATCAATGATGAGAGAGAATCACTGATCAGCTGCCTCCTGCACACCCCCCACTGGGGATCGAGCCTGCAACCCAGGCATGTGCCCTTGTCCGGAATCGAACCCGGGACCCTTCAGTCCACAGGCCGACACTCTATCCACTGAGCCAAGCCGGCTAGGGCTCTCTCTCATCATTGATGTTTCTATCTCTCTCTCCCTCTCCCTTCCTCTAGAAAAAGAGAGAGAGAGAGAGAGAGAGAGAGAGAGAGAGAGAGAGAGAGAGAGAGAAGAAAGAAAAAAGAAAGGAAGAGCCGAAACCGGTTTGGCTCAGTGGATAGAGCGTCGGCCTGCGGACTGAAGGGTCCCGGGTTCGATTCCATTCGGGGGCATGTGCCTGGGTTGCGGGCACATCCCCAGTGGGAGATGTGCAGGAGGCGGCTGATCGATGTTTCTCTCTCATCGATGTTTCTGACTCTCTGTCTCTCTCCCTTCCTCTCTGTAACAAATCAATAAAATATATTTAAAAAAAAAAAAAAAGAAGAAAGGAAGAAAGGAAGGAAGGGAGGGAGGGAGGGAGGAGGGAGGGAGGGAGGGAGGGAGGAAGGAAGGAAGAAAGAAAGGAAGGAAGAAAGAAAGAGAAAGCTAGTCACATACTGCATTATTCCATTTATACAAAATTCTAGTAAAGGGAACTCTAATCTAAGGTGATAGAAATCAGATAAATGGTTGCTTGGGGATGAGGATGGGATGGGGACTGACTATAAAGGGACCCAAGAGATCTTCTGGAGTGACATAAATGTTCTCTATCTTGATTGGGGAAGTGGTTACATGGATTTCTCAAATTGCACACTTAAAATAGTTACATTTTATTATATGCATGCTAGACTTCAATATAATTGACTTTAAAACAAGTTGGGCCCTGTTGGTTTGGCTCAGTGGTAAGAGCATCTGCCGAGGACTGAAGAAGGGCCCTGGGTTCGATTCTCGTGAAGGGCATGTACCTCTGTTGCAGGGTCCATCCCTGGGCAAGTGTAGGAGGCAACTAATAGATGTTTCTCTCTCTGTGTCTTTCCCCCTCCCTTCCACTCTGAAAATCAATGGAAAAAATAGCCTCCGGTAAGGATTACACACACACACACACACACACACACACACACACACACACACAACAAACAAACAAAAAAAAACCAAGTTGGACAGAGAAGGAAGAAGGGGGAAATATAGAGGTATACAGAGTTGTGGGGTTTTGGTGATGAAGTCCTGGGCTCCTTGTGAAATTGGCAAAAATGGGTCAGGGGTCCAATGGGCTTAGGTGATGGTTCCACAGATGATTGTGTAGCTGGTATATACACATGAATGATTAAAGTTTAGAAAGCCTCATGGTTTCCCAACACTTTTTATTGTGTTCCTTCCCTGAACACTGAATGGTAAGAGGTTTGGCCTACCAGATAGACTGCATTTTTTGAGCATGTGCACACATGCGTGTGTGTGTGTGTGTGTGTGTGTGTGTGTGTGTGTGTGTGTGTAGGGGGTGAAGTGACAGAGAGAGGCTTTTATGAAGCATCCAATCACTTGCCCAGAAGAGAATTCTCCACATTCGTTTGGCAGGTGAGGAAACTGCAGCTATGAGAGGTTTGGATCTTCACCCAAGGTGCCAGGGACTAAGAGGTGGAATTGAGATTGAACCCAGGACTCTCCCTCCCCTGCTTTACCACTCCTTAACTATTCATAATTATCACTAAATACTAATTTAATACTTTCCAATTTAAAGATTTAAATCACCTTTATTCCTATGATAAACATGAGACATGATTTCCATTAAAAAATAAATAAAAATAAAATAAAATAAAAAAGGAATGCTACTGGCATCTAGCGGGTAGAGGCCAGGGATGCTGCTCAACGTCCTACACTGCACAAGACAGCCCCCACCACAAAGAACTATTCAATCCCAAATGTTAATAGTGCCAAGGCGGAGAAACTCTGCCCTAAACTAACTCATCACCTTCCCCCAAAACCTACATCCCCATATCAATAAAAAACACCTCCAGTTACCCAATGCCTCCAGCCAGAAACCTTTGAACCTCCCCTCTCGCTCACTCCCCATATTCAAACCATTCCTGAATTAATTAGATAATAGTAGGTGCCATAATGAACAAACCTTAAAATATTTGATGACTCAAACATGATTGAAGTTTGTTGCTCGCTCATCTAAAATCCAAAATGAATGTTCCTATTTGGTAGGCGGCTCCCTTCCCGGGCTCCTTCTGTGGTTCCATCATCTCTATCAGGTCACTGCATTCAGCTGCCAGAGCTGGTGTAAGGAGAAAGAGAGTGGAGAAGTCACACTTGCTTCCTAGACGCCTTAAATTGGAAGCATCACATATTATTTCCTTGCTAGGTTCATTGGTGAAAACATAGCACATGGCTCCCTAGATGCAAGGGATGCTGGGGAATGTAGTCCCTGAATGGAAGGGTGTGGTGACCACCCTCCAAGAGGGCCTGGATGTCCACCCTCTTTTGTAGTCCCCTGCCCCACAGTGAATTATGGTTAGCTTGTGGAACCACTAGGATGCTGTGAAAATGACAATGTCTGACTTCCAAAGCCGGGTCATATAAGACATTACAGCTTCCACTTTGCTATCTTGAATCATTTGCTCTAGGGAAGCCAGACGCCATGTTGTGAGGACACTCAATTAGTCAAGAGGTCCACTTGGGGTCGAACTGAAGCCTCCTGACAATAGCGAGCCATCCAACTTGTCCCGCCTTCAAATTGCTAGCCATGTGAGTGAGTCATCTTGGAAGTGGATCCTTCATCTCTCGTTAAGCCTGACAGCACCACTGGCCTGGCTGACATTCTGACCCCAACTTTATGAAAGACCTCAAGTCAGAACACCTAACCCACAGAAGCTATGTGAGATCATGTTTATTGTTACGATAATACTTAATGTTCTTGTTGTAAGCTAATAAATTATGGGGTTATTTGTTACATAACAATAGGTAGCTGCTACAAAGGAGAAGCATGACTTTTAGAGAAGAATTTGTCCTGCACTCTCAAGCTCTCTCTGTTCCACTTTCTGAACATTCACAAATCTCTAGAGCAGCGGTTCTCAGCCTGTGGGTCGCGACCCCTTTGGCGGTCGAACGACCCTTTCACAGAGGTCGCCCAAGACCATCCTGCATATCACATATTTACATTATGATTCATAACAGTAGCAACATTACAGTTATGAAGTAGCAACGAAAATAATTTTATGGTTGGGTCACAACATGAGGAACTGTATTTAAAGGGCCAGAAGGTTGAGAACCACTGCTCTAGATCCTCCCTCACACTGACTCCACATTTCTCTTCTGAATGGCTACACCTGCCCTGTCACTGGTCCCCCTTTGTAGAGATATTTGTCATGTGTTGTTGTTATTGGTGTTGGCTTTCCAGCATTCAATCATTTCATTTCTTTGGGGGATGGGGACTTTATTGCCTGCGGCAGTGTCCACCATGGTAGCAGTGCTGTCCAGAGCTGGCTGTGACCTCCTAGCCAAATTTCCCCTAATGCTCAGTCTCTGGAACCTCTGCCTACTTTTTCCAAGGTGGGTTTTTCAGACTCCCACCCAAACTGGGGAGCGAAGTGTCAACAAGATTCATTTTCACACTCTGCCTCCACCATTGCCTCACACAACCCATTCTCCACCCATTAGCCATTTCTTCACTGATTCAATATGTGTTGTGTGTACGGAGTGCCTTCAATGTGCCGAACACTGTTCTAGGTGATGAAGTACAGTGGTGAAAGAGTAGAGAAAAGCCCTTGTCCTGGTGAGCCTGCACTTTAGTAGGGGAGACAGTGGACAAAACAAGCAGTGAGTAGATCACAAGAATGCTCCTCAAACTTCAGTGTACATATGGACCACCTGGGGATTTTGTGAAAATGCAGACTCTGATTGAGCAGCTGTGGGTGGCGCCTAAGAGTCTGCATTATTAACAAGATCCCAGGTGATGTTACTGCTGCTGGGCTGTGATGCAGACTTTGAGTAGGCAGGTATACTAGGCTAATAAGTTTCATAAAGAAAAAATCAAGCAGGAAAAAGAGATACAGTGCTGGGAGAGGAGGGTGGGGTTGTGGTTTTAAATAGGGGTGTCAGAAGACTGATAATGAGTATGGACTCAATGGAGGTGAGAAGGGAGCCACGGGGATAGCTGAGGGAAGAGCATTCCAGCCACAGGGAGGAGCTGGTGCAAAGGGCCTGAGACGGGTGTGTGACTGATGAGTTACAGCAGTGGCTCCCAACCTTTTTTGGCCATACCCCACCTACGCATCTCTAAAATCCTGAGCACCCCCCTCCTCCCCGTGACATACAATTCTTTTTTTTTAAAATATATTTTATTGATTTTTTACAGAGAGGAAGGGAGAGGGATAGAGAGTTAGAAACATCAATGAGAGAGAAACATCGATCAGCTGCCTCCTGCACACCCCCTACTGGGGATGTGCCCACAACCAAGGTACATGCCCTTGACCGGAATCAAACCTGGGACCCTTCAGTCCGCAGGCCGATGCTCTATCCACTGAGCCAAACTGGTTAGGGCGACATACAATTCTTATTATTCAAAAAGTGAACTCCTATTCACGTGGAGGAAGCCTAAAAGGCCATTAACTTGGTCTAAACAAGCTTCCAAAGAGTATGGCATCCATGAAAGAGAAATATAAAAGAACAAAAGGACGGCTGAAATACTGAGGAAGAAATCACTAAAAAATTGTTTAAAAATATAGTAGTAATAATATGAAGTGATATGAAAAAATAGCAAAGTTTCCCAAAACATAGGGAACTGAAATGCATAAATATATCACAATATATATTTATATACTGTGTATGAGGCCCCTAGAACCATAAGAAATGCACTGTTAATAACTCATTCTCGAATTGCCCCCCTTAAAAATTAAATTGCACCCTTTGGGGCATGTGGCCCACGTTGGGAACCACTGAGTTAGAGGAACAGCAAGACCAGTGTGGCCTCAGTGGAGTGAGCGAGGGGCGGCAGCAAGCCGAGCGGTAGGAAGCAGCAAGCAGGTGAGCGGTAAGGAGGGAGGGGTCCCGGACTGCGAGAGGGCACAGGCCAGGCTAAGGGACCACTCCCCGCTTCTCCAGTGCACAGATTTCGTGCACCGGGCCTCTAGTTCTAAAAATAATGACATGAACTCAGTTAAGTTTTAAAAGGATTGCTCTGGCCACTGCAAGGAGAATAGCTTGTGGGAGAACAGGAGTGGAAGCTGGGACAAATGGGAGGTGACTGTAATTATCTGGGCAAGAGATGAAGGTGACGCAAGTCAGGGAGGCAGCATAGACTTGTGAGAAGGAGCTGAGTGCTGGCTAAATTTTGAAAGTTGAGCCAACTGGATTAGCAAACAGATTGGATTTTGGGTGCTTTGAAAAGAGGGAAATCAAGCATGAGTCCATCTTTTTTAGGATGAGCAAGTAAGAGGATGAAGGAGGGATGCACAGGTCGGGGGATAAGAGCAGTAATTCATTCCAAACATGTTCATTTTGAGTTGCCTAATTAGACACCTATGGGTAGATGTGAGGGAGGGAGGTCTGGAGTTTAGAGAGATATCTGGGTAAGGAGAGAGAAATCTGGGAGCCATGCGGCACACAGGTATGTATGTATGTATTTATTTATTTATTTTAATTGATTTCAGAGAGGAAGGGAGAGGGAGAAAGAGATAGAAACACCAATGATGAGAAAGAATCACTAATGGGCTGCCTCCTGCAGGATCAGGAATCAAGTCCCCAACCAGGGCATGTGCCCTGACCAAGAATCGAACTGTGACCTCCTAATTCATAGGTCAACGCTCAACCACAAGCCACTGTAGCGGTGGCACACAGGTATTTAAAGCCAGCAGACCAGATGAGATTACCAAGGGGGTGTGGGTCAAGGTCAGGGACTGATCAGGCCTCTCCAAGGCAGAGGGGTCCCTCTAAATGGTAACTCTTGTTTTCCGTTCTTGCTAACTTCCACGATTCATTATCTAGGTGGCAGCTCTAGTGACCTTTCACACAATGTAAATTCTTTTACTGCCTCCGCTGAATCCTCCAGTGGATCTCAGGTGCCTACAGTAACACCCAAGCCCTTTCCCACGGCTCACTGCCCCCTTACACTACCGCGCCTCCTCCTGCCACCTCCCTCTCACCTCTGCCACCTCCTCCCGCCCTGTACTCCAGCCACTGCACTCCTGTCCTCAAGGACAGCTAGCCTACTCCTGCTTCTGGAGCTCCGTACTTTACTCCTCCCTCTGCCTGGTGCACCCTCCCCTGGTCTGTATGTGGTTTGGTCCCTTACTCCATTCAGTTCTTGCCCAAATGTCCTTTATCCAGGTAGGCTTTCTAAACTATGGTAGGTTAAACAACCTTCCCCGTCACTGACTTCCATGACACTGCTGTGATGTCCCCAGCACTATCTGAAGCTCACTCTGGTTTTTAGGGTCTCTTTGTAAGGGCTGGGGCCCTGCCTGTCTTGCCTGACACCACATCCCTAGCAGCTAGAAGAGATGCTTTTGCGGGGTGGTGGTAGGGACAACAAACAGGTTGAGGCTAATGTGGGTAGACAGGAAGGCCTGTCAGACCAGGACAAAGAGGCAAGAGGGGTGAAGAGGAGGGCACTGAGGCCTGGCTTTACTGCTCTGGACCTTGGGCACCTGCCTTTTTTTTCCACTTCAAGTCACTACCCACTTTTTAAGTCAGTGACTTTCAACTTGGAGCAATCCTGCCCTCTGTGGGTACACTTAGCAAAGTCTGAGGCACTTTTGGTTGTTATGATGGGGGAAGGAATGCTACTGGCATCTAGTTGGTGGGGGCCAGGGAGGACGCTCAACAGCCTATAATACACAGGACAGCCTCCTCCCACCCAACAGGAATTATCCAACCCAGAATGTCATTAGTGCCAAGGTTGAGAAACCCTAATATAAATGACATGGAATAAAGTAGGATAAAATAGAAGCATCAGAAGACATTGCTAAAAAAAAAAAAAAAAAAAAAAAGAGAGAGAGAGAGAGAGAGAGAGACATTGCTCAAAGTAAGGACAAGTATAATTTCATAAAACTTTTGTGTTTTGTGTCCTCTGACACTATATGAGGTGTATTTCTCCTTGTGAGTCCTAATCAAAAAGGTTTAATAACAGCGTCCCACGGGCCCACAGAGCTGAGTCATACCCCTGAGCTTCAGGCCTCATGGAGTTCACTTCTACAGACAATAAAGAAGAAAACAAATAAATTGATGGGATTGTTTTGGAGAGCCAATGAAACAAGGCAAACATTCCAGAGAGTGCTTGGGGGAGCAAGGGGGTCAGGGAAGGCTTTTCTAAGGAGGTGAC